ATTCAAAAATTAAACAATAGTGACAGAATGTTCTTTTTTAGGTGAATTATCCATGTAATTGTTAAAACAACTTCAGTTACAGTAAGTGAAATTGAAACGCGTTATCTAAACAAGTTAACGTGGGAAAGCAAACAACTTGTGTGATTGGCGTCGCCACTCTACCGCTATCTTGATTTTAGTCATCTACATCAGTGATGATGATCAGAGATTCGGGAGTAAAACAGAAGAAAGAAGATGAGTAACAGTGATGCATCTTTTCATCTTTGTTTTCAAGAGACTGGAACGTCTCAGAGGCGAATCCACAACCCCATCTCTCGGCTCCATCCATCAGTCTGATCGAATCGTTCAGACTCGAAACAAAAACAAGAGAAGTGAAACAAAGATGGTTATAATAGGGGCCTGTATCTCCTCACGATATCACCCCCTCAAGATCTCTTAAACAACTGCAGTACAGAGAGCCCGTCCCGAACGCCAGAGAGCCGAATCGTAAATATTCCAGAGCACAATTCTGTTTAGATTTGATATGTGCTTTAACAAGAAGATAAGGTGTAAGGTCTGATTTCAGTGGGTCTGCTCTGACCTCCTACTGCTGTACCCATCATTTCACCAACCAGCTTGACACCAAACAAGATAAGAGAGAGCCAGAGACACAGACACAACACGCACAGACTCATGTGGGCTGAAAACCTGCAAACACTCAGGAACCTGTAATAAGAGATGGTCTTCATCACTGTCAATTTAAGCAATGCATAGTTGTCTTCTCAGCTGAAACTGTCCCTGAAAGAGCAGGCATTTCTCTCTAGTGCCATCGGTGTTGAGGAAGCAACTTTGAAACTGTAGCTTGCCAAGCTGCAAATAATTTGGCTTCAACTTACAGTCCTGAAAAAGTAGTTAGCGAGCACTAACAAAAGGTAACTCACTACATGGAAACTGCTTAAGCGGGCAATATCTATGAGTCTTAATTGTACTGAATTTAATTTATATTTACTGAAAAAAGTAGTAATTGCTATATTGCGTCAAGGATCTGCCTCTACTTAATGTAAATATCCTGTAAAGTGTACTTTTGTTGCGGCAAACTAATTTAATATGATTGACTTGAATAAAACTAGACAAATTAGATACCATGAAGGACATTTAAGGCTTACCTGAAAAACACTGGGGGAAAAAAAAATAAAAGGAAAAAAAATTGTGTTGTTCCAGAATTCCAAGAGCTTTTGCTTAAATGTTTGATTTTTTTTTGACTAAATAAATAAATTAGTAGATGATAGATAGATAGATAGATAGATAGATAGATAGATAGATAGATAGATAGATAGATAGATAGATAGATAGATAGAAAGATAATGAGGATGATATATTTGGATTACATCCCCCCCCAAACAAACAACCAGACCAACCTAAAGTAAGCAGTAAAGTTTATCCTGTCTTTCTCATGATACAACACAAAATTCATATTTGTGAACTGACACAAGCACACACACTTAGCTATATATAGAGCTGCCATTTGAGACGTCCCTGTGACATATTTTTACTGTTAATCAGCAGACATTCAACTGAGGTGTTTAAAGAGTCGAGATAGACAGCTCATTTCGGTCAGAGAGACAGATGGCTCATTTCTGACAGAAAGACAGACGGCTTGTTTCAGACAGAGAGACAGACAGCTCATTTCAGTCAGAGTTTGAAGGCAAGAGGGACAGCAGCTGTCCAAATAAGGGGCCCATTTGAGATGGAAAATATGATTTTTAGGTTACACTTATATAGGGAGGAGTGTTAACCTTTGGGAGATGATTCCAATGTAACAAGGGGTTGAAGGATTGTGGTGGGCAACATAACCATAATTATATGTCATGGTATGAGTAATTTTATAACACGGGTCCTGAGTATTTAAAGGGTTAGTTCACCCAGAAATGAAAATTCTGTCATTAATTACTCACCCTCGTGTTGTTCCAAACCCGTAAGAACATCGCTCATCTTCGGAACACAATTTAAGATATTTTGATGATATCTGAGGGCTCTCTGACCCTCCCATAGACTATACTGTCGTGAACGCGCGTCCAAAGTGACGCAGTAGAGACGTAAATGTGGAATAAAGTCATTATTTTTGTTTTCTTTGCGCAAAAAAGTATTCTCTAGCTTTGTAACTTTACAGTTGAACCACTGATGTCACACGGACTACTTTGTCGATCATCTTGGTACTTTTCTGGACCTTGAACATGGTAGTTACCTTGCTGTCTATGGGAGGGTCAGAGAGCCCTCATATTTCATCAAAAATATCTTAAATTGTGTTCCGAAGATGAACGAAGGTCTTACGGGGTTCGAACAACACGAGGGCGAGTAATTACTGACAGAATTTTCATTTTTGGGTGAACTGACCCTTTAATGAAATTATACCTTTTTTTTTTCTGAAAATTCAACCATTAGTTCAAAGAACAGCTTCATTGCAAACATTATGAAACGAAAGACTCAAAACAGTAAAATATTATGATGCGTACGATGTTAAATTACATATGTATTGCTGCTGACTTCTATAGTAATATGCACTAAAAAAAGACTTTCCTCTGAAATATCCTTACTGATGCCAGAAACACTGGTCAACACACATTACAAATTACGTATATATCTTGCGTTTTTGTATTGAGAATGCAACAATAATTAACAGCAATATTTACGAATTTGAGCACGTGTAGCTAGAATCATGCACTATGCTTTCTAAAGATCTATCGGCAGAGGAAAGAAAACTACAAAGAATGTTACATTATTAATATGCAAGACTGTGGGTCATTCTCAGTGTTATTGAAGTATCGTTATGCATATTATATATTAAATACAGTGTTTTCAGGCCATGCTTCTGTTAAATTACATATATATTGGATACATGTAATGTAATTACACATATGTAAAAGTGTTGGCAGATTTCGACCATCGTGTGGTTCAGCTTTTACTAACGGTCAGAGTTTTCATCCCAAATACATTTTCATATGCTTTGGAGACATGCAAATCACTGACCTACAGTCCCGTATTTATGCATATCATGTTTCAAATCTGAAAATCAATAGGCATGACCTTTTTATATATCTAAATAGATTGACCAAATATCCAGTTCTGAGTTAAAAACCACAGCATAGGTCAAGATTGCAATCGAGTTCCACAGCAATAGAACATCAACTATTCCCTTGATGGAAAACTGGGTTATGTATTTGCCTAATAACGGAGGCAGGTGAAAGTTATCTCTCCGTAAAGCAAAAGTTCAACCTTTTAATTCTGTTTTGTCGAAAGGCTATGGCCGCCAAGAACACTGTTAATTCTGAGATGTGTGATTTGGCTGTCTGGAAGTCACACAGAAGCTGTTCTGATTTGAATTAAGATGGAGATGAAGTATTTTTATGAATACAGGCGGGTGGCCGCCGGTCGAGGCCACGGTTCCCTGCTATTCGTTCTGAATGAGCCCAAGGCAGCAGGACACGAACGGATATTATTCAGTGCTTTCCATAATTAAAAAAAGAACGGTTCATATTACTCACAATCCTTACCGGCAAATTGGCCAGACATATAAAGCAAAGCTTTCTTTCAAAACTACTTAGTCCCATCGTGAAATAATCCAGTGACGTTCAAAGAAAAACTGTAATTGCTGGAAAATGATGGCGTTAATTTATCAGAAAATAAACCTGCACCCTATTACTGTACATGAATGAGTCGACATGAGTGCTGTTGACTCTATAGTAAGTAATCCCATGCACTAAAAAAAAAAAACCTTTCCTTACTGAGACCAGAAAAACACTCTGTGAAAGTCACAAATGCCTGGTCAACGCAGATTACAAATTACGTATTTAACTTGCGTTTTAGTATTGAGAATGGAACAATACTTAATAGCAATGCTTAAGAAATTGAGCATGTGTAGCTAGATGGACTTTTAGATTCTAGATGGACTAGCTAGAAAGATCTATCAGAAGAGGAAAGAAAACTACAAATAATTTTACATTATTAATATGCAAGACTGTGGGTCATTCTCAGTGTTATTGAAGTATCGTTATGCATATTATATATTAAACACAGTGTTTTCAGGCCATCTATCCCACGATGTTGTGACAGATTTTTTTAGCTTTTAAAGTTCAGCATAACATGACTCACTCTTGCGAAGCAGTAAGATCGCTCCGATTATCAAATAAGCATTAGGAGCTCAGACTAATACAGCATTCAGCATATACAGCCCTGATTTATTTCTATAAGAGCACAATGCCACATTTCATGGCATTCGATGGCAGACATACTATCAATAAAACGGCTCCACAATACTTCATCACTGCTTTGCATTTCAGCTTCATAAAATCCCAGAAAATGCAGTTTGAGAAGATGCACAGAATACAAATGAGTTACATCCGAACTTATAGACAGCGTTCGGCCCACGAAATGAAATCAGAAAGATGAGATCTGAAGTTTCTAGGATATACTCGAGAGAAACAGGGAACAGACCCTCAAGCAATCAATCTTTCAAAGTTTCTGCACAAGCGAAAACTTCCAGCCATGGCTATGGCAGTAACCCATTTAATTCAATTATAAAAATGCATTAAAAAGATATTACGGCAGGGACAGAGTGTAATGAGGCGTGTTTACTTGAGGATATTGTTTATAATGAGCAGTTGTAGGGTTTAGGCCTATATAGTTAGACCAGGACATGAGAGTAAACAGACGGAGATGAGATGAGGGAAAAATCGGAAACACTGTATGGTCTTTCTTTTAATTTAACCAGAAAGAAAACGAAGGCAAGCTCTGTGTTAATGCACACAGCTTCCCAAGAACCTCAGGCTATCTGTCTTGAAGGAAACAGCCATTATTTATCTGAGCTATCAGAAATGTTGTCTGTTTCAAACGTCCACCACATAAAAGAACACAACAACAACAACAACAAAAAAACAGCACCATACTCACTCACTCAAGAACAGCATGACTCCGACGATGTTACGAAAGATATTTCGATATTTCGAGAAGAAGAGAAGTCTTACCGTCAGAACTCTGTACAACCGTCAAGACGAACACCAGGCCACAGAGGACCAAAGACTTCCATTCTGAACATCCCATCCTGGCTCTGACTGGACTCTCCGCTTTCCACATGTCTGGGTCGAAATCACTGTAGTCACAACGATCCGGTGAAGTCACTCTGAGAGATAACCATCATTGACCTCCGAGCCTGCAAGAAAACCACAGCGGACTGTCAGTGTTTGGCTGTCGATGAAGAACTCCTCAGGCATAAAAACTTCCTCCTTTAAACCTGCTCGCCTCGACAGTTCCTCCACAGGATTTTGTTTTTTTCCAGGAGCAAATTCACACAGAATTCATCCCAGGAGTAGAAACCCTGTATTGGAAGGTAACTGAGACCTGAAACAGGACCTCCTGCATTACAAACAAGCCATTTACCTCAAAGTCCGTCGTTACCGTTTATCTGACTCTCCTCTCCCAAACCTGTTCCGCTACCATCCTTTTCTGAGAGGAAACAGGTTTGTTGTCCACTTAAGCTACCGGTGCATATTCTCAAGCCAAAGAGGACTATGTCATGTACAATATCTCATCCTTTAAATGTTTTCCTTCTCTGCATGTTTACACCCTCCACCAGCCTCCCATAAAACACACGCACGGCCTCATGGGAAACATCGTCACTCCAGTAACGAGCCACTTAGGAGCCCATTAAAAACAGTGTGTGCACCCCCTAGGTTTCTTAAAGAAACACTAAATATATCACACCACCTTTTAATACTTCATCGCATTACAGGGTATTTCCTCATGTCTGGTTAATGAAAGTATGGGAATTTTTGCTTCTTGGATTGTCATATGGCCATGACTTTAGAAAATGTGATTAAAAACATCAGGAGTCTGTTTACATTAACATAAAGTAGAGGGGTTCACTGTAATAGTGCATTTCTGTATTATCAGATGAAGAATGTCTAAATGCTAAAGCATTGTCTTAAACGTATCAAGGTTATGGCCTTCTGTATCATTAACATTCAAGATGCAACAATGCGGCTATATATTATATAGTCACGTTGTTGTTTTGTGTAGATATGTTATACTTGACAAATCTTGTCAAGTGTAAAAAAAAAAACTAAAAAAAATATCACCAACAAATTATGGACAGTAGAACTTGTCAACTGTAGGACTCCACTTCATCTTCATTCATCTTTTCAAAAAACAGTTCACTACTATTTCATTTTTATGTAGTTAACTGATTAATTGTTTTATTTCATTCGTTCGTTCGTTCGTTCATCCTCCAAACAAAAAAATGTATTCACTAATTTTACATTTTACATTTAATTCATTGTTGATCACTAAAAAAAAATATTTCTGAATTTAAACTTAATCACCCTCATGACATTCTTTCTTCAGTGGGAAAAAAATATATATATATAAACAAAAATATATTTTGAGAATATCTCAGAATGGATGTCAATGTGGACCAAAATTTTTGGTTGCCCACATTCTTCAAAACATCTTCTTTTGTGTAAATGATGACATTTTTGGGTGAACTATCTTTTAAAAAAATAGACTGGCTATAAATTCATTTGAAATATACTAAACGGCAAAATATGTACCATCATCACATTAAATATAATATTTAATAGAACACGTTTTTGAATTCATATATTTAAGCTGACAAAACAATAGATGATTTTTGTGTTTGGTTCATATTAAATTTTTCCATTTAATGGGAATACTGAAACGGTGGGTGTAGCATCATTAGCATTAGCTTTAGCGAAATAACAGCACAATACAGCCGAGCCTCCCAGCCTACTTAGGATCTGAAATAGAGAACTGTATTTACCCTAAAATCATCTGTGTTGAGTAAAAAAAATTACTAACGAAGTCGGTGCAGTGGCGGCTCACAGCAGGTTAGCTGTGAAGAAAAATAAACGCATAAAGGACGAGGGCTGATCCCTACATAGTCAGGGGGTGTTCGACTAAATCAACGACAACAGCTCCGTACTTTCATATCTCCGTCTCACGCTGTGAGCGGTTAACATGCTGATCAGTCTCCAGAAGCAGAGCCATGGACGAAGGCGGCCCGCCTGACTCCCGCGCTCCTCATTAAACGTGTTGAGGTCTCTCCCCTCCGCGGGAGGCCTTATCTCCCTAAGCTGCAGCAAAGGCCGCCGATCAACACCTGTTAAGTGCTTCAAACAAATACTGCCGTTCCAACGCCGACGCGGCACAGCGGGACGGCCTGTTGTCGCTGTTCTGTGTGTTTTGTGTTTGCAAATCAAATTAAAAACTCTAATCATGACAAATTAAGACAGCAACCATTCATCTTCAAAGGATTCCGGCCCGGATGTTTGATACCGGCACTCCCTTTGATTACGGCCCGCCGTTTTACACCGAAGGCTTCGCCGAATTGTGCAGCTTACGTACAAACCAACAAAGCTATATAAGGACTGTGATCGATGGAGAGGTCCAGACCCAGAAGGCTTTTTCACAGCTGTGTACATCTGCTCCAACAGACCAGCAACACTCAACAAAACAGTTGTGTGAAATAAAAAGAGGAACTTTGAAAGAACATTCCACTTCTCTGGGTGAGAAGAGAGCCGTTCAAATCAGAACTGAAAGGCCAGTTTGAGATGTTAATGCCAAAACAGAGAAACAAAGGGCAGATGTGTAATTATGCGGCCGTCTTTCTCCCAAGCGGGAGTGAGACCCACCGGAGAATAGAGGAGGAGTCTTCCATTCAGAGGGGTGGGTGCAGGAATAATGCACAAGAGACAAGGCCGAGGGGGGCGGAGGGGGGTTTACAAACTTTACAATGTGAGATTGACAGCTTGCAAGTCTCGCTTGACCTCTGAATTAACCCCCAAGCTTTCAATGAACTACAAAAAGAGCCATGAGATCGATGGTCAAAGAATATGACAAGTGTATAAAAAATGGACCCATAAACAGGGACACGCATTCGCACAATGGAACTCGAACACACCAGTGTCGGCACAAAGCACACAAGCTGACAAGCTAAATCTTCATAAATCATGCAAATCATGAAACATATCTTTTCCTTTAAGTATCATTTTAAACATTCCATCAGACTTAAGTGTTAACAAACTGCAAGCTAAATCTTGTGAAATTGTTATGTTGGCATAGACCTTACGCCTTCAGAAAATGTATCAGAAGAGTTGAAAGTAACAAGAAAGTGAAAAAAGAGGAGACTCTAACTCCGTAAAGAGTTTACATCTCTAAAAAAGGATGATGAAATCAGTCAGCATTTTTTATTATTTATATAATAGATGCTTTAAAAAGAGAACAACATTGGAGTAACAGGGTTGACACATAACCTGGAGACACTACCTCAAGACTTCAAGAATATTACTGAGAAATACAATTTAGATGTAATATTTGGAAGCACTGTTTGGAAAGGCAAAAAAAAAATGCAACAATAAAATACTTACTGGCTTTTTCTCAATGTGTTTAAACAAATGTCTAGTAAAAAGTGCTAGTAACGTGTTGTTATTTTTTTATTTTTGAATGAGGGACACAAATGTCACCATTTTTCCAGACCCTTAATGTACCATTAGCAACATGAAAATTTGCCTGTGACGAGTTTGTTTTCGATGTTTTAGTATTTGTGCCAGAATATCAGGTCAGTGATCAGATGACAGTGTCCCATCGAGGCAGAAACGCTAGAGGAAATCAATCAGCGGTCCAGGGGTGGGCCAGTTAATGCACAGCCACACATGAGCCATTCGGAGCACATCCTATTTGACTCCACTGTCATGCATTCACCTTTGCCATCTGGACGCTGCCGGTTGTGTACATTTTAAAACCAGAGGACAAACATCATGATATCGGGGTGACGGATGTATTAAGGTCAGGTGGACGACAATGTCAAACATTAAATGAGCAAATGACAAAAAACTCCAAATGCTGCTGTGCACGCAGTGAATTAGAAATGGCAAGCTACATGTAGAGGACAGGAAAAGCAAATCAAATGAAATCTTTCTTTTGTGGAACACAGAGGCATTTTGCTTTGCTTTTGAAGCTTTCATTGCAACTGGACGGAAAATAGTGACCAGTATAATTCCTCAAAATTTCTCCTGTTGTACAACACAGTCATACAGGTTTTTAGCAACATAAGGTTGATTAAAAATGTAATGTTTTTAGGTAAACTAATCCACTAATAATTTTTTTTTCACCAATACAAATGGAACACTGTACTAAAACTGCTTCCTGCAGTGCTATTTAGCGCTCCGTTGCTATAAAATCTGCATTGCAATCGCATTGCATTGAAATTATGTTTTATCTTTTTGTTAGCTCGCTGTCTAAATGAAATAAAAAGTCAATCAATAGACATTAAATATTATAATTATAAAAAAAAATAAAAAAAACTCTTATGTCCATGTTGTTTTAAAAATAAATAAATAAATACTCACGAATCAACCAGTCACTAAACCAGATCCATCAAAATGACTAAAGGACTTATTAATGGAATCATTAACGATCCAGAATCAAATCAGATTTGAATCAGAATAGAAACCAATATCACTCAGTTCCTTGCGGCTCATATTCCTGCGTTCACAAGCACAGCTGGCTTTTACACCAGAGCTGCAAATGTATCATCTTAACTGGCCATTTAGCTCTGTGTTTAAGACCTGGAAAAAGATACATGAAACCCTGCGCGACAAAACTGTCTCATGACCATGTCTAATTTGAATAACTGCTTTAATGAAAGTACATAGACACGGTATAGAGGAATACATAATGCTTTGAGTGCTGGTAAAATACTGTAATCACTCTCTGCGAATGAAATCTCAGTCTTTTTAACTTCTTTTCATCCTTCTCTCAAAGAGGATGCTAAGGATCCATTAATCAGAGCAATCTCTATCAAGCCGCCACACAAGCAAAAAACAAGACCACAACTAAGAACCAGAGCAGAACCAAAACCCTCAGTACAAACTGGAGCTTCTGGAGAAGTTGCTGGAAATCGATTGAACGGCCCCTTTTTAGTAGAGATTACCGAACACCACATTCATACCCTACAGGAAGGGGGTAGTTTACTCATCTATTCATTATTCTGATACACGGCTTTCTAATTCCGACAGTAAATGACATGCACACCGGCGTAATAACGTGCAGAACGTATAAGAAATCCTATTAAAATGGCACGGTGTCTCTCAGAGACGATTATAATGGGCCTCGATTGCTATGAGTAAGTTAGTT